GAGCCCCGTCCCCTTCCCTTCGCTGAGCGGAGGAATGCTGGCAAGCCGGAAAGGAGCCCTCGCTGGGAACGCTTCTCTCGCGGCTCTGAAACCCCATTGAGAAGAGCCCTTTGATGCAGTTAAAGCCCATTTCATTGCAGGCCTGGGAGGAGCGAAGGCCCGTCCAGCTTTTTTTCTGTCTCGAGCGTATTTGTGTGTGCACCTTTGTGGGGCGGGCGACTTAGAGAGCAGGCGGGAACTGGAGCCCTGTCTCTCGCAGACGTTCTGTAACATCGTAAAGGCGCACCCATAAACAGATTGGTTTTCACCGTGGGTGGAACCCAATTTGGACAAGATCCAGGCCGACCTGCAGGCCGGAGTTCCTGCTTTGAAAGGCTCTTTGGTACGACTCACAGCACCTGCCCTGCTGTAAAGGTTTAGGCGGACAAGAAATTGCGTTTGGAGGAAGTTTTTCTGAGGTCATTTCTCCTGGTTTTCCATTTTCTGAGGTGGAGTGGGCTATGTCGCAGGTCCAGAACTGATCACAGTAAAATGATGTAACCTGAAAACTTTGACCTTCTTGGATGCGACAGTTATTTGATACTAGGATTATTCTCTAAGATTTCCCTGCTTCCTCCATTGAGACAACTGTGTGACCCCAGAAAACCCATATAGCCTCTCTGAGTTTAATATTTTTCATCTGTTAAAATGAACATAAAAAGGCCAGATAACTGATACCATAAAGCTCTGGGTGCTGGTGGAATTCTTTCTAAATTGGAGGTGAGCATCTTATCTCCTGGCACATGTGGAAGATGTATGCGACTGCAACTGCCGTAAACGTCGATGTAAAAATATCGTACAGTTCCTGTTTTGTTGCCTTTGTACCACTTATTACTAGGGTTAATAGTCTTATGTCTGTTTCCACTAGAATATATCTCCTTGAGGACAGGAACTGTCTTTTATTCCGGCATCCCCTGTCCCCAGAGCAGCCCCTGACCATCGTAAGTGGGCAACAAAGTGGTATATAAAGAATACTACCTTGTTGCCGTTTTCTGTCACTTAAAATGTAAACAAGAAATAGGAGGAGCTCAGTGGGTATCGGGGATTCTTGGCCAAGTAGAAGTTTGAAGGAAACGGCAGGAAAACATTCTGAGCTCAAAAACATGCTGCAAATGTTTTCTGAAATGACCCAAGGCAGAGTGGGGCACTGATGTGGAGGAGTCATTCTTTTTCCCTGAGTGGACAGCTAATACTGGCAAACTTGAATCACGTTTTATATTTGCAAAGGGGTGTACAGAGTTGATCATTCATTCTTTAAACATCCCATGGATATGGGGCAGTAAGGCACAGTGGCTATGTGTGATGGCCATCATTGTTTCTTATGTATTGATCTAAATATGTCTCCATGGTTCTTGTTATGTTGGGCCTTCTTTAGACCTCTAACTTGAGTGTTTTCCTCTGAGGGCTTGAATACATGAATATTTTTCCCATTCAGTAAAAACCAGTACATTTTTGCATCCAAATGAGGAAGCTCATAAATGAGACAGTAGAGGACATCCTACTCCAAATACATCTCCAGGTATCTGCAGGAAATACCACTGAAGTAACACTGACATAAACAAATGGATGTTTCCCTCATCTCCCCAAACTTCCTTAACACACACACACACCCCCCGATCAGGATAGTGAGAAATATAAAGTCCAGTTTACAGATGGAAACTCAGTGATTCCTTGTTTGTGTCAGGGTACAGTATGCCCAACATACTTTATTTCTTGTCATGTGGCCCTGCCTAGCTGTCATTCTGGGTTGCATTTTGTTTTGATGTGGATATCATCCCTGAGAGTTGAGACTCTTTTCAGACTGTTTCTTACTGTCTATTTAGCCAGGTGGGCACAACCCACATCAAATCCCACATATGAAATGATTCTCGGATAGAACAAAAGTTATATACAGTAACAGTAGCAATGTCCCTCACTTTACAGAACTCCTGAATTTTCTCCAAATTATTGAGTATTTCTGTTTCCTTCTGACTTACAGTATTTCTTTGAGAGCAGCTTTATCCTTATTTCAGATTGGGTCATTAATAGGGAGTGACTTGGATCAACCTACCTGATTCTACCAGATAATTAATAATCCAAATGGATCGTTGAAGGCCAGAATGGGAGGTTCTTATCTGATTACATTGATAGAGTCAATAATGCCATGTGAACAGTCATGTCTCATACATTTAGATGTATTTAGTTTTTAAAGGACTATACCTATTTATTTGGAAATCCTCAGGATTTGGTAATACCTTTTATTTTAAAAACCTAGAACTGCACATGCCTAGAAATAGTTGGTGAGATTGAAGTTTGCAGAGAGAAGTACCTAAAGAGAAGAAAGCAAAAACTATCATTCCCTAGTGCAGATTAAGAAATTATTTCAGAGAGGTAAAAGTGGCTTGTCCATGGTCACAAACCGTGGAATTACAATTGCGTCGCTATTCTCTTGATTTGCAAGATAGTCATTACAGTCTCTGGTGTTTTAATGCTAGGGAAGCCTGCACTTTAGACAGTGACCAGATCCTGGATCCCAAAGGACATATGAAAGCTAGTTCATCTAATCTGTTAGATTGGAGTAGCTATATCACATACTGCCTTTCCATTTTTGAAAGATTTAAATTATTAGCTCAACTTCCCTTTTTTTCTGTCTTGTTATTTGTCCAGCAGCCAGAAAAATGAAGAGAAGACCTCTCCTTTATTTACCACACGATCCATGGCGTTCTTAGCTAGTGCACTCTAGAAGTTAGGGTGGAGACTTTTATTTGTCCTGCTTTTTTGGCAATAAAAGGGGAGGGGATGCCTCATTCAGCCAGTCTTTGGCTCCTAAGAAACCAAAAAGTAATGCTATTCACTAGTCTCTAGGCTACTAAGTGCCAGAGTGGCCTGTGTTGACTCAAATTCGTGTCCTTGCAGCTAGGTGGGGCTCTCTAGAGCTGTTAGTCCTGTAAGGTTGCCAGGGCAACTTAAATCTTCTGAGCTTCGAAGGCTTCAAGAAGTACAAAGAGGAGACTACAGGGCACATTACAACTTACAGGCATGTGTTCAATAACATGTCATCTTTTGGTAATGGGGCTTTTATTTTTATTTTATTTTGTGGGATTGAAAGATCAGAAGCCGGAAATTAGCTGGGAAGGATAAAGAAAAGGAAAAATTAAAGGGGGGGGGCACTATTTCTGTTCCTTATGTGGGCAATGGTTAAACAAGGAGAACATCTGGTCCTGGAGTGGGTCTCTGCAGCACTGCTTTTAGTTACCCCATCATTTGGTCTCATGCTAAATTAGTGACTGTGGGAGCAGCTCAGATCTCCATACTGACAGACCCAGAAAGCCCCACTTAGCCTGCCACATAGTCAGAGGGGAAACATGGAGCTTCCGGTTTCATATTTAAACCAGGGATTGACTCATAATTGTAGCTGTCAGGAGGGTGATGGAGACATTATGTAATCTGGTTCTTATGGCGATGTGTGTTTAAGGTTTCTGCTCTGTAAATTCCAGAGGAAATTTCAAGTCCATTGAGAGAGAGCTCGCTGGCTGCTCTGTGGTGTGCCCTGCAGGATAATGACAGTGCTATTAAAGGTTCCTCAGTCTGCCTGAATCCAAACATGAATGAATTTCCCCCTGAAAGGCTCTCCTGTTTTTCCACAGACTTTTAAATGTGGATGAGGTTAGGCAAAATTTGGTAAACTGCGAGGAGGCAGTATGTTGGCCCAGTAGGGAAATTTAATAATGACAAGCCGTTCTGGCCCACACGTATTTTTTTCTGGACCACACAGTTCCCCTATCATTTACAGCCTTAGAGATTCTGGAAGTGGACACCAGTTGCTCCTAGAAACAAAGCGCTGGGGCTGTGGATCATTTGTTCCTTTTAAATTCTGCTTGTTACTTGCCTCTTGGAGGCCTCTGAGCTAGTATAAATGTGCAGGGTGGCCAGGGAAGGCTTGAGACAGACCCAGTGTTTGCTGCCATGGGGTAAAAAAAGTCAGAGGAAGCTGTTTAATTTTAACCTTAAAGGAATGTGTTTTCAACAGTTTTGCTGGAGGGAGACTTCTGTTTTCATTTGATTGTTCTCTGAATTCAGTTAGTTGTACTTGCATGATAAGAAGGATTCATTAGATAGAGAATAGTATTCATATCAGGAGAATAATAGTAAAGACTAAATAAAAGCTTAAAAGGTGAATTGAGAAGGGGTTTGTTTGCTCGTGGGGAGTAATGGTGGTGAGGAGTGGAGAGGATGGAACCCTCTGTCACTCTCTGGTTGCTGGTCTGGCTGGTCCAGAGTTTCTCACCTCTGCTTTTTCACCTTTCCTTCCTCACTTGGAGAATTTTCCAGGCTACCAGTACTTGGGGTTCTTTGCCTGCCTCTTCATGCCGGTCAAAGACGACAATGGTAGTTATAAAGTAGTTTTAGCCAAAATTAATAACTAAATGTGTGAAAATGTGTATGTCATTATCATCATTTGTATTGTAACTGACTGTCGTAAACTATTTTTTCTAGAAAAATGAGCAATTTGGACAACTGGATATTTGCTCTTTGGTCTGTGGAATGTGTTATTGGGAATGGGTAATTTTTGCTTTTCATGAAGAAAGTTATTTTAATTAAAAATAATATAAAATACTATTATGTTAATATAACATGTTTAATAAAACATAAGAATATGTTTAATATACTTGTGTATTTGTATACACATAGAAATGTATATTTAGGACTTCCCTGGTGGTGCAGTGGTTACGAATCCACCTGCCAATGCAAGGGACATGGGTTCGAGCCCTGGTCCGGGAGGATCCCACATGCCACGGAGCAACTAAGCCCGTGCGCCAAAACTACTGAGCCTGCACTCTAGAGTCCTCGAGCCACAACTACTGAGCCCGCATGCCTAAAGCCCATGCTCCACAACAACAGAAGCCACCACAATGAGAAGCCCACGCACCACAATGAAGAGTAGCCCCTGCTCGCTGCAACTAGAGAAAGCCCATGCGCAGCAACGAAGATCCAATGCAGCCAAAAATAAATAAATTAATTTTAAAAAATTTAAAAAGAAATGTATATTTAAAGGAACAATGAAAAGTTTCCCCCATTCTTTCAGTCTCAGACGGTGAAATTTTTATTAGGCAACAGTGACAGTGTAATGACTTGATTTCTTCTCTTCCATGAGAATGAAGTTTCATATGAGTATTATGCAGTCACCATAGCTTGGGACATTATCGTATGACTGCTGCATGATGCAGGGATGGGTAATTTCATGAGCTGTCTCGCCTAGGTTTGTTCATTTTCCTAGTCATTGAAATGAGAAGACTTGATGTGATTCCTGTTGAGCTACTTCCAGAGGCAACCGTCCTTGTAATGAATTCTCTCCATCAGAAAATTAGGTACTGATTTGTCTGTTTTTATTTTCCCTGTACTAGAACTTACAGATGGACTAGGGATTTCTCTTCCAATTAAGGGCCATCAGCTTATAGAAAACAATAATTGAAGACAACAAAGCAGTACTATCCTGGAGTTTGAGCAAGTTAAGCTGAGCATTGGATCTAGTCACCAACAGGACATTTTCCCTTCCTTGCCTCTTCTGAATTCTCTATCCAAACCTAGGCATTCATCATTGAGGATGTGGGACTAATCAGAAGGGATAATTGCCAAGTTAATACATTACCTTTGATTAAAAATAATTAATCATATCTATTTATTCCATGACACTTAATTCGGAGAGAAAATGGTTAAATGTAAATAAGTTGAGATTTGCTTTTCTTCAAACTTTGCAAACTAGAGTTAACCGAAGTGTTTCAAGTTTTCCCAAAACTCTTTGAGAACTTCAGTTGTCCACACCTAAATTTCAAATTCCTTATCTAGATTTTCAAGGCCCACTACCATCTGGCTCCAATTTACCCTTCTAACTTTATTTCCTACTACTCCCAACCCTCCCTTCTAACTGTGTTTCCCACTTATCCTCACATGCCCATGCTCCTGCTAATCTAAAGGACTCCATGTTTTCGAAGCTGCTTTCTTTAGACACTATCTTCAAGCCCCACAAAGGCTCCCTTTATTATCCCCAACCAGAAGAAACGATCTCTAACTGAACTCCCATAGCACTTGATCTACAGATTCTCTAATGGTATCTGAATGGTACATAGATTTATGCTCATGTCTCACCCATTTATTTCCTGTAAGTTCCTTGAGGGCAGAATCTATGTTTGATTCATGTTGTGCCCGCAGAGTGCCTTACACTCTGCTTACCCATGATAGAAATTCCACAGATGTCTGTAGAAGGAATGAATAATATCTAGCTACAACATTCAACATAGCTGAATTTCTCCTGAAGTCTGGACAAGAGAGAACTACAGTTTCGTTTTTGGTTTTTTTTGCAATATGTAGATGGGATTTTGACTCCTTTCACAGATGACACCATTGATTCTACCTAAATTGGATGGACTCAGTGCCTACCTCCCATCCTCAGAACGCAGCAGGACTCAGAATCTAGTGCTGGGACATGGCAAACCATGTCAGGTAATGGGGAATTGTTTGGTTCTCACTATTACTGGGATAGAGATGAGGTTAAGGAAGAAGTGGGTAAATTCATTTGCTAGACAAGGAGCAGGTCTGTGGCCAAGTGTTTAAAAATTTTTTAACAGAATTCCCACGAGATCTACTGTTGTTTATGGTCTTTTATCATCTTTCCTTTCCTTCTCGTCTCATTTGTCACCTCTGGCCAGTTACTTTTAATTGACTGGGGCTCTGGAATTATGGGTTAAGTCAGGAGACTTGGATTCCAGAGTTGCCTCTGCCACTGGCTGTGTGGTTTAGGAAAAGTCTATATAAGAATTAATTTGCTCATCTGTATAATGTAGGTGATAAACACCTACCTTTTCCACAGTGGTGTTCTGAGGATCCAGAGGAAAAGTTTACAAGAAACAATACTGAAAAGTACGGTGTTTTACATTTGTAAGGGATTATTATAAAAATTAATAATACTGGAGGCTTCCTTTGGGGATACCTATTAAATCACTATTCCCATTTGGACCACTGTTATTTAATATGTCTAATTAGGCAATGTAGAGGCATCTGGAATTTTGGCTGTGCCATTTGCTAGCTCTGTGACTCCAGGCAAGTTATGGACCCTCACCCAAATCTCATTTTTCTCAATTGAAAATGGGGATGAAGTATCTAGCTCAGGCTGTAGTGAGAATTATTAGTGTGGCAGCTTTGTCATATGTTAACGTGGCTAGGTTGAATTATGTTTCTGAGAAATCCCTTCTCTGAATGTGTCTGGTTAGGATGGGCCACAAAAAACATGTTTTCAATAGGTTTGGAGGTTGAAAGTGAAACAATGGTAGCTCACACTGGCAGGCACTGTTGCTATCTGTTGGCTTACTTCATTGGCACCAGGCAGCAGCCACCTTCCTGGGGATCCTCCATAAAGTTCTCTGCCTCTTGGGCCACATGTGTATTTAGTTCTGTGACAAAGGTCCCTGGCTTCTTCAGGCAGGATGTCTACATCATCAAGACTAGAGGCAGCTATCACTGACAAGGGTTCCAGTCTGTCCCTGCCCTTGTGGGTCCCAGATTGTACTTGCTTACCCCGACGTTCTATCTTACCTTCTTATTCTGATGACCTGCCCTGTGGACTTCAAGCTCCAGCCTCAGACAAAAGACTAACAGAGACTGTTTGACCGGCCCCCACCATTGTGTAAGGTGTAAGGCCAGCAGGTCCGGGGAAGGGCCCAGGGAGCCAGATGGAACCCCCGCCAAAGTGGCTGATGCAACCGACACCCGACATTGCCACACCATTCAGCCCCGGTCTTCCAGCTTCCCGAGGGGCGGAACCAACGGCTCTAAGGCTGATGCAACCGACACCTGACATTGCCACAACACCCGAGAGATTACCAAAAAAGGGCTGCTTCACACAGCAAGCACCTCCCCTGCGTCCGCCCCTATAAATTTTGTTCGCGCCCACACCCGGGCGCGACTTGTCTGGCCCCTTTCTCTTGGACCAGTGAACCTCACCCGGAAGCGTTCCCAAATAAAGCTTGTTTAAGCTCTCCTCCATTTTTGGTGCTGTTCCTTACATAAGGTTCCTATAATGTCCACTCCCTTCCGCCACCAAAATTCACACACACACACACACACACCCTTCTAATGCTGTGGTCGTTATTACTAATATTGTCATCCAGATGTCAGAGACTAGGTAGGATTGTCCCAAAGGTCTCATCCATTCCCTATAGAAGCCCAAAGTTCTTTCTAGGATTTCTCCAAATTCTTGTGGAGTTCATATTTTCATGATCACTTCTGGCTCACCAAACCCTTCCTAATTTGTACAAAAGACTTATTTATTCATACAAAGCACTTGTAAGTATAATTGGCTTTACTACAGATTTTAGTGGCATGAGCAGGCCAAAGAAGGGTTCATGCTGCAACAAAACAGATAATTTCTAGTTAAATTTCACGCATCCCTATGTGTAAAATGTTTTTGCACCAATGTATCCTTAGAGAATGTGTCCAGTTCCCTCACCCTGTAAAGTCCCTAGCCTCACAACAGCTCCTTGGATCCTCCCTCCTTCTTCCCATTTTTCTCCCAATCTCCCACTGTCTTGTTTTCAAATGCAGAGCAGCTTAACTAGCTCTCCTTTCTTCTTTGCTCAAATTATTGTAGACACATATCCATGCCCTTAGGATCTCACTTTCTATTCCCAAAGGCTACTTTTCCAAGAGGAAAGCTGTTGTAGTTGTTAAGAAAATAAAAATTTTATCTGGTTACAACCATAACAAGAGCAAGAGGCATATATTTAGCCCTTACTGTGATCCAGCCTCCAAGAGCTCTTTATACATCTTATCTCATCTGATTTCCACAACAATCCAGTGAGATGGTCTGCATTTAGTCTCATTTTTACAATGTTGAAATCAAGTTGTAGGAAGACCACTAGTAAAAAAAAGCAATTACAAAACCTAATATTTATTGAGTTCTTATATGTCAGGCACTGTTTTAGGCACTTGAGAAGTATATATTTATATCTATATCTATATATAATGCAATATATATATATTGCCTTAACTCCTTATAATTCTGCAAGTTAAGTATAATTTTCATTTTACAGATAAAGAAATTGAGACCCAGAAAACTTGGGAAATTTGCTCAAATTCACACATAAATAAAGAATGGAGTTGTGAATGGAAGCCGAGCTGTTGGAATCTAAGAATTCAGGATACTGTTTGAGAAGATAAGAAAGTGTTTCAGGCCTTCCCTGGTGGCGCAGTGGTTGAGAATCTGCCTGCTAATGCAGGGGACACGGGTTCGAACCCTGGTCTGGGAGGATTCCACATGCCGTGGAGCCACTAGGCCCGTGAGCCACAACTACTGAGCCTGCACATCTGGAGCCTGTGCTCCACAACGAGAGGCCGCGATAGTGAGAGGCCCGCGCACCATGATGAAGGGTGGCCCCCGCTTGCCACAACTAGAGAAATCTCTCACACAGAAACGAAGACCCAACACAGCAAAAATTAATTAATTAATAAACTCCTACCCCCAGCATCTTCTTTAAAAAAAAAAAAGGGCTTCCCTGGTGGCGCAGTGGTTGAGAGTCCGCCTGCTGATGCAGAGGACACGGTCTCGTGCCCTAGTCTGGGAAGATCCCACATGCCGAGGAGCGGCTGGGCCCGTGAGCCATGGCTGCTGAGCCTGCACGTCTGGAGCCTGTGCTCTGCAACGGGAGAGGCCACAACAGTGAGAGGCCTGCGTACCACAAAAAAAAAAAAAAAAAAGTGTTTCAATGTTTTCTCATGCAGTCAGCCTCCTAACTCATCATCATGAGACCTTTCTTGGCTAACTTAATATTTCAACCCATCCTTCACATTTTATATCCTTCATCCCACTTTTGTTTCTTCTCTTTAGCACTGAATACTATCTAACATGTTATATGTTTTACTTACTTATCATTTTTATTTTTCTGTCTCCACCCCTGGAATGTAAGCCCTGTGAGGGCAGGGATGTTTTGGTCTGTTTTGTTCACTACAAGATAGTGTACAACACAGCCTACAAGAGTGTCTTGCATATAGTAGGTGTTCAATGAGTAGTTACTGAATGAATGAGTGAATAAATGAATGAATGAATTGGGCTGCCTACATAGAGGTCAAGGCCTTCTAATTAGATCCTGGAGATACTTCTGGAAGCAAATCCTTTTGGATTCTAAATTGCTGGGCTCTAGATATGATCGCACTCATGGGTGGAGTGGGGGGACAAAGACTGTGTTCCTCCTCATTTCCTTCCTCCCCTCCTTGCCCCTCCCTCTCCCAAGTGCATATGCTTCATTGTTTTCATCTGGTTTAAATGCCTTCGCTTTGAGCCTGCTTTGCAATACTGAATAACATTCCTTGACTTGCCTGTTTATTTTCTCCATTTATAAAATGGGGAAAACTGTACTTCTGACAACTTTACCAGGACTTGGAAGAGATCAATGAGATGATAGGAAAAAAAGCAAACAAGGCACTGAATCTTAGGAGGACTCTGGCTATAGAAACATACATGAAAATTCAAATAAAATACTTGTATCAGTCACCTCTCCATAATTTGATGCTTTTATTCCAAGAAAGCTAATGCTTAACATTTGTGGAAATAATGACTTTTGTGGCTTATTACTATTTTGGCCTTAAAAGAAAAATTTTTAACAATTATCAGAAGTTACCTAGCATATAAGTGTAGAATTTTTTAAAATGAGGAAGTTACTTTTGCAGTTTAATTTTCTATTTTGGTTGGTAAAGTGCATTAAAATTATATCTTGAATTAACTAAAAGGATAATGTTCACTCATGAGTTTAACAAATGTTATGTAAAATCTGTTATGCCAGACAGTGTTGAAGTATGTAAAAGAGCTAATACCAGTGGAAGAACAGACTAAAAACCCTATCTTTATGTTATGCTGATCAGAGAGGGCTGTTTTTAGAGGCTGCCTATTGTATTAGTTTGCTAGGGCTGCCATGACAAAGCACCACAGACTAAGTGGCTTAAACACAATTTTGGAGGCCAGACATCTGAGATAAAGGTGTCGCCAGGGTCAGTTTGTTCTGAGGTTTCTCTTCTTGTGGATGGCCTGTCATATCCCTGTTTCTTAACATGGTCTTCCCGCTGAGCCCATCAGTGTTCAAATTTCCTGTTCTTAGAAGGACACACTGATACTGATTAAGGCCCACCTGAATGACCTCATCTTAATTTTAATTACCTCTTTAAAGACTATCTCCAAATACAGTCACATTCTGAGGTACTGGGAGTTAGTACTTTAACATATGAATTTTGGAGTGACACACTCAGCTCATATCAATTATTCTAAAGTATTGCTGAACTCATTGTGCCTCAGTTTACTTGTTTAAAAATAATGATGCCTGCTCTACATGTATTTTATAAGCACATCACTCAGTGTTTTCTTTATGGGACTTGCAGTTAGGTAGAAATAAATCTAGTTTTTGGAGAGACAATAATATTATCAAAGGTCATAGATGGACCAAGATTTGCTCAGTGCTACACAAAACCAGCTAAATGGACAGGACAACTGTCTTCTAAGATTTTACCATTTTGGAAAATGGGCATACATAGCTGAGTCTTACTTAAAGGGACTATCAAAATTATTGGATCAGGCTACACATTAAACCAGACAAGATTAAAAGTTCATTTTCCTCTGGCCAACCAACGTCTAGAAACTTGCAAGAGAAGGCACAGATGAAATAAAGGAGTTAACTTTGAGATCCTGACCGATCACCATGATCATCACCATCATCATTGCTGTCATCATCATTTTTACCATGTCACACTGGATGTTTTTTATTGTCTTATCCTCTAGTAGTTCTAGCTTCTTCCCAACAAGTGTGTGAGCTCTCTGTGGGTAGGAAGTATGTCTAGCATTGTTTGTCCATGTCCTTTTGTCCCTTGCATGGTGCTGGGCATAGAGCTGGGGCTTGGTAAGCACTAGCCGGCCGACTACATTGACTTCTAGGCCTGGTTTCTGAGTGCATCAGTCAGAGGAGTGGTGGCGGGAGAAGGATAGTAGGGAAAGGGGTGGTTGGCTGCCATGGTATAGCCAAGAGTGGATACCCAAGTGGTGATAGTTAACTTGGCCTTGATCAAGTTGTTGATGGAAGTCACTATGAGGTTCTGAGGAGGAAAATGGAGAGATAGGGCTTTGCAACTACGTGAAAGATGGGCTTCAGAGCAGTTCTACAGACTTAGGAAATACAGACTTGTTATGTTTTGAAAAAAAGTCAAATTACTAGCTTCTTCTTAGCTTTAAGCCATACATTGCCATAGAAAATGCAAAGAATTGATTTGGTGGTGGGTGTGGGTAGGGAGAGGAGTGGGATCCAAACAGAGAGCTTCTACCTAATTTTCTTTGCAATGGTTATAGTAAAACATTTGGCTAGGAAAAGATTAATTTCTGTTTTCAAAATTAAAAAAACGTAACATGTGGAAAATATTATGTTGATGCATGTTTTGCTGAACAGATGGTGACAGTCTGCAAACTTCTCAAGGATTTCCCTTATAGGATGAAGGGGAAGCATTTTAATTCCTCCAAGTAAGTAAGAGTCACTGAACCTCTATGATTTTTCTTGTCTCTTCTTATAGAAGTCCTCTCTTTTTATCACCAAACCACAGATTTTTCTTCCCACTAATTTTTACTCAATTACTTTAATCTGGGACATCCAATTAGCATCCAAATGTGAATTTTTTTTTGCTAGTCTGGTCTCTCTCAGAAGCGAACGTCTCTCTCATCTTTGTATTAATACATGATCATGACTTTCATTCTGAGTCTCTGAAAACACATCAGATGTAACATGGGTTGCCCAGTTATTCAAATCTTCATTTTACAGATGGGGAAACCGAGGGCTGGAGGTTTCTGTGACCCTCGCCAACGTTTCATAATGAGTCACAGCTGAAGTAAACATTAGACATGAATTTCTTGACTCTCAAATCACTGACCTCTCACTGTCCTTTAGAAACTGATTCTTACTGTGTTTGAACCTCCTTTACTTGTGTATTTTCTTTTTGTGCTCCCCTTCTAGAAGAGTACAGAAGACAAAGGGAAGAGATTTTTCTATACAGTATCTCACTCTTCCACCCCCACTTTTTGGATTCCTTTGAAATGAAACCACAGCTTCAAGTAGAACCTCCCAAAGGTTTTTAAGATGAGTCTGCTACACAGCTGGAGACAGACAGATTAGTTACTAATCAAGCATTTTTCTATGTCATAAGTCATTTCTGCATCAGGGGACACTTTTCTTACTAGAAAAGAAAAAAAGTTAAAATCAAAGACAGTGAGCAGTAGCTCACTGGAAATAGGAGTTCTCCTCTGCTCCCAAACAACTAACACCTCCCCCTTTAACAAACAAAGAAATACGCAAACAAGAAACAAACCAAGAAAACCCTTAATTGTAGCTATTCCCTGCCTAGACCCATCCAGACTGCCAAGGTGAGTTAGGTGGCCTTGTGGAGAGCCAAGTGAACTTAGGCCCATGTCACTGATGGTGAGGTTCAGGACCTGGTGCTGATCAGGTAGAGGTGACTTCAGTACACGTCAGTTTGTGATTCCAGTGTATTCCAAACCTGTGGAGAGGCAGGGAGACTGGGATCTGGGGCTGTATAGGCCAGCTGATTCTTCTTTCCTTTCTCTAGTGATCTTTATGTTTAAGATTGTCCTAAATACAATTGCCACTTTTTTTTTTTCTCGGTACACGGGCCTCTCACTGTTGTGGCCTCTCCCGTTGCGGAGCACAGGCTCCGGACGCACAGGCCCAGTGGCCATGGCTCATAGGCCTAGCCGCTTCGCGGCACGTGGGATCCTCCCGGACCGGGGCACGAACCCCCGTCCCCTGCATCGGCAGACGGACTCTCAACCACTGCGCCACCAGGGAGCCCCAATTGCCACTTTTTAATTATTTTGTAAATCCCTTTGACCTTTATTTTCCTTTTTTATTCCTTCTCTCAAATATTCTTGCATACATTCACACTTTATCCTTGCAGTCTCTACTGTAGTTCATTGCTTAAGGCTTTCTAATATGAGGAGTAAAAGAAGAAAGAGATGTTCTCTCGCTCTTAACAGGGACAGCTCAAAATAAATCCACAGTGCAAGTGCGTTAAAACCCAAGCACTGGGCTTCCCTGGTGGCGCAGTGGTTATAAAACTAATATAATAACTAATATAATATTGCAACTAATATAATATTGCAATATAATATAATTTTGCAACTCAATAATATCTCAATAAAAATATTGCAACTCAATAATACCTCAATAAAAAAATCAAACCCCGAAACCACACCAAAAAA